GGAGTTCTGTATTCTGGTGGAATAAAACTTCAGTCTCCACTGTATTGAAATTTTGTTTTTTAGCACTCAGGTCATTGTCTCCACTTGACTAAGACATTTCTGTGCCGAAACGGGTTCATTTACTTTTCAAGTATTATTTTACTAATCAATTGAAAAATTACCTCCATGAATGACAGAAGTGCAGACCTTTGGAGTATTTCATTAAAAGGAACAAACATTAATTACAAATCTAGCCTAACCTTTTGCAGACATAAATTATGGGACTGATCTATTTTCTCCATAGTTAATTGCAGGCAGGGAGTAGCTTTTTAAATTATTATCTGTAAGGCATGAATGAAATTAGAATTTATTGAGTGATATTCTGAAGATTTATTTGTACCTAAAAAACCTGATAAAGGTAGTACTGGTCACATACTACTTAGTGGTATAGTAAAACCAGTTAACGCATCTTTGAGGCTCCAGATTGGCTATCAAAGGTTGGATAGTATCAAAGGTTGGATAGAAGCCTATGATTAACACTTTACTAATAGTATATGATAGCTACTAGGAATAATTAATATTGCCCAACTATTTCTATTGTAAGCTAACATTTTTTATTACTGTACTCATAACTTTCCTGAAAATTCACTTCATGAGCAGAAATTTTCCACACATGGAATTTGCTGGAAAGTGTAACAGCTCAGCTATTTTCTAGTGCAATAAAATATACATTCCCCATGATAAAACAAAAACAGCTAGAGTACTGTTGTAATTGGGGATCAAAGTGAAATCTGGCAGAGAATTGGCCTTCTGTGAGCAAAGTGACCTACCGTTCTGGTGCAAACTAGTTTTGATTTGACCATATTTTCCTTACACCAAGTATGGTTTTCAGAGGTGTACAACAGTGACAATATTTTATAGTAATCACATTGTGTTTATTACTTCATAAGTTTAAGAAGTGGGGCATGATTGTTTTATTCTTCTCTTCTGTCTTATAGATCAGGAGTTGTCAAAGGGTTTTTTTGTTTTGTTTTGTTTTTTTGCTAAAGGACTGGCGAACTGAGATGGGAGTTTTTCCAGGTCACAGCTAAAGGAATGAGTTTGTGGTATCTTTCTCAAAGGGAGCCTGTCTACTAAACATTTTTCAGGCATTTGAATTAAGTAACCAAAACCAGTAGTTTTAAACAGAGTTACTAAAATTACTTGTCAGTCTGTATAGATCCACTCCATTCACATTTCCTAATCTACCACTGTTCCAAGGAGTCATTCACAAATCATGGAAGTCATTCTCTAAAATTTCTACAATAATAATAATAATAATACCAACCAGGATCACCATTTTTATTTCAAGTCTTTTCAGGCTGTATTCACACAGGGAAAGAAAAAAGGGAAAATAACCTATGTGAAGAACACGGAATCCATCTGAATAACCCAGACCATGAAAAAAACCTGTTTTGATGTTTAGTAAGTAAGAACAGCCTTAAGATACAGGATCAAGTCTTTCCTGTTTTTCTTATTATACCTTAGAACAATTTTCAGCAGAGCCATCTATTGGTGAAGTCACTCTAATATTGTTACAACTCGTTACATCAAGGTAATTTCTATGGCATATTATAAGCAATAATACATAGACAATATAGATTTGATGTAGGACATGATTACCTTACTTAAGAAATAAGTACGTGGAGTAGACAGAAAAAAATTGGATTTTTTTTTACATATAAAGAATACTAGTAATGAAAACTGGGAAGAAAAATATATTTATATGTTGGCAGAATTCATCCTAAAGAGAGCTTTATACTGGGAATTCACCCCAACATCCTTTATACTAGAAATTGTAAATCTTGCATCCATAAATATTGGAACACACAGGGGCATGTACTGAAAGAAATATCTCAACCACCCCCGCTTGCCTCACTTCTCTAGTTTCCTTTGGCCAAAGGGTTAATCATTAGTTATATAGCCCATCAGAAAACATAGGCTGCGTATTATTTAATTTATTCATGTCATGATATGATTCATGCCAAAAAGAGTTCCCAGAGCATTGGGCATTAATACACAATGCTGATCAGCTTAAGTCACACATTAGCACCCTCTACAGGCATTCTGTGAATACAACCTAATCATAAATACAGAACTTAGTGACGCCTTTCAGTGATGATTTTCAAAAGGGCCTAAGTGAATGATAGAGCCTAAGGCTTAGTCAACACTTCTAAATTCAAAGTGCTGTTGTGGCAGTGCTTTAACAAGGCAATGTGGTCACAGTACTCCCACTGGGAGAGAGGGCTCTCCCAGCGCTCTAGGTAAACCATCTCCATAAGGAGCATAGCTCCCAGTGCTGGGGGCCTATTTACACAGGTGCTTTACAGTGTTGTAATTTCTGCTCTTGGAGGAGGTGGATATTTTTTCATATCCCTCAGCGAGAACATTACAGTGCAGCAAAGTGGCAAAGCAGATAAGCCCCGTGTCCACTGAAAAATCAAAAGGACCATAGGCTTCTCTGAAAATGTTACCCTTCAGAACGAATCTAGTCTCCCATCAACTCAGCCACACAAGTCAACTGGAAGTGAAACTGCTGCAGCTCTACTTGGCAGGGAGAGGTCAGAATTTGTGGGGGATATTGAAGGTGCCCACTCAAAGAAGCCCCTTCTACAACTGCATGCAAGGGACGGCTGGAATCAGGACAGAGCTACCCTAGGAGAAATTTGCTGCTGTGATACTCTTCTAATCCTTTCTCTATACTAGGTGTTCAGTAAGACCATGAAATGATATTGCACACAATGGATTAAAGGTGTCTTTGTAGTCTGGCTTTGTAGTTACCCTTTCATTTATTGAAAGATTAGACATTGGGCCACAGTAGCTAGGAATACTTAGCCTTGATGAGGAGTTTGGAGAACTGGGAAAAGAGGACCAAGCCCATGTGAAGCCAGTATTTTCTGTCTGTTATCCTACTATTTTGTCACGTTTTAAAAGTAGGGAGTTAAAGATTGATCTGGAGCCTGGGAAAAGCACTCAAGCAGCAAGACCACTTGTGACAGAGTGAAACTATTTTTTAACCATTTTGCATGAGAAAAGCAGAGCCTGACAATTTTGTCCTTAGAAATATTATATGTAACCTATTTCCTTTGGAACCGAATCAAAACACCCCCTGTTTGTTTTCTGTCAGCAAAAATGAAGTCAGGCATATTGTGGGAGCTCTCTTCAATTCTAATTTTTGAAGGATTTCATCCAAGTTGGCAAATCTCTCAATCTTACATTGAAGAAGATACTGCTTAAATGCTAACTAAAATTAAACAAGCATTGTCACCACTCCCCCCATGAAGGTCTAGTCATGAAATGATACACACTTTAAATTTCTTGCTTGAGAGACTTCCCTTCTCTAATGGAACAAGTGAGAATCACAAGAATAACTATGACTTGGATCTGATGCCTTAAGAGTTGTACCCGTATTAGGAAAAGACACCTTAAGAACTGTGTGAATTTAGCAGCAGTGTAATTTACAAAATGAAAACCTTAGAGTAGAATAGGCAAGGTGTATGAATCAGCCTTTTAAAAAATAAAATAGCTTATCTCTATCTATTAGATGGAACAGCTATGAAAGGAGGAGAAAGAGAGATCCCTTATTCAACTGCTCTAGAATTTGCTTAGTAGGAGATATTTCCTTCAAGAACTTTGATTAAAGAAAGGTACTTAATAAATTAAAATTCACTTTATAAATTATTAACAAAAAATAGAGAAATTTTGATTCACGTCTAGATATTAGAAGACACATATTTACCAATGCCAACTTTGTAGTCTCAATACAGGCAAATAAATTATTCCAACATTAACACAGACCACATCCCAAGTGTTTTGAGCATGCTTGGCCAAGTAAAAATGTTTCCTTCTTGCAGGAAGCTAGAAAAGCCAATTCTATAGTCACTGACTTCAACAGAAGATGCATATGAAAAAGGACTGCAGTTTCCAATCTTCCCAGGATTAGCCTCATTTTAGAAAAAGGAGTTGAAGAAATTAAGCTAAGAAATATTCACAAATTGGTTTCACTGAGGAAATATTTTTTCTAAAAATAAATGTAAGGAGGAGAGACGCTGAGGGTGATCCAAGTAAAACCTTGGCTAGGGAGTGCAGTCTGATTCAAAAAATCATACTGAAATGAGCATTATTGAGGCTGGGATTTTCAACAGAGTCTAAATGAAGCAGGTACCCAGATCCTATGGAAATTCAATGTGAACTGAGCACCTAAACCCCTTAATCATTTGAAAATCTCAATATTAACTAAATTGAGATCAAGTTATCAAAGACTGGAAGAATATGTCCACATGTAAATAGCTTTCTTCAGCTATTTTATCTCTTAATTTCTTGGTTTTTGAGAGTTTATAGTCTTAGTCTGAATGTGCCTGTCCAGATTTCTCAGTGTATACACACATAATAAACATCCTTTAAACCTTGCCACCATTTATTAATATTTCTGGTGTACAATAGTTGTGCTAATACCCGTTCTACACAGAGATAATATCACAGTCACACCATGAAATGCTTCAATGTGTATTAGAAAGTATTGTAATAATAACTATGTGCCAGATATATTGAACAGATGGGTTACACCTGTGTATTCTTTGGGACTGAGAATTTGGCTGAAATCTTTCACACACAAATATGTGTATGTGGAGTAAATGATGGTACTCCACATACACATATTTGTGTGTGAAAGATTTCAGCCAAATTCTCAGTCCCAAAGATTACACAGGTGTAACCCATCTGTTCAATATATCTGGCCCATAGTTATTATTACAATACTTTCTAATACACATTGAAGCATTTCATGGCAGGTGATGCACCTCTCATAGAAGCAAAAGACAGCAAGTCATACATATGTTTGGCATGACATGGTGCAAAGATTGTTCTCTATGAATACCTAGTTGACATACATGCCAGAGCTGAAAAGCTGACAAGTGCTATGACTGTCACTTCATCAAACTATAGGACATGAAATGCCCCCCCCCTTTTTTTTGGTAACTTACATCAGTAATTTTCATTCTGTTCAGTTTCCTTATGCATGAAGTTCTGAAACTGGTAAAAAAAATGAACACTGTTACCTTCTCACAAATGAAAGAACAAATATTTATGGAACACTGTGATGCAGCTGTTCAAAGATTTGTAAACACTGCTCCTGGCTGTGTTGCCAATTTACCCGATGTCCCTCTGTTTTAGCATTCACATTTGATCTGATTTAACTGGAGCATAATGTAGAGTTACATTACTGTTTTCAAAAGAAACTTGTAACGTATGAGCCAACTAAACCCTTGAATGGTAGTGGAATTCCTATTAGTGTCACTCTATATTGCATGTTTGCAGGACAAAACCAACATGGTCAAAATCAATTTAAGATCTGACTTTTTTCTCATCTATTTCTACAAAATATTAATAACTTAATTAAAAACACCCATTTTGGCCAAGTTATGTTCCTAGTCTGAGATTTGCTATCACAAACATGTGAATATGAGGATCAACACTTTCAGGACAAAGGCAGAATACCCGACAGCAAAAATTACAGTAACTTTGTACACTACTATTAAACCCTCTACTAAAAATATTTACAATAAAATAACTAGTAAAAACTGAAGACAGATGCTTTATTAAAAGGGGTAATATTGGGACAAAATAATATTGAGAAATTAAATTTACTTTGGATTAGTTTCATGTAAACACATAAAAAATCAACTTCTCAGAGCTCACATGAAAAACATAATGTAGTTAATATTAAATACACTGATTACACAACCTATTACTTTTACAGTTTATGTGGCTATGTCCTTGATTTCAGTCCTGTTTTGTTTATGATTAATGAATGACTCACCTTGAGTACTGTTGTATTCATTTCATACCTCATTATGAATTTGAAAAGGTCATTTGTTCTTTAGAGCCAGAAGGAAAAACATTTTTGCAAACAGCAAAATGTTGACAAATTTGAACTAGACACTTCCGTGTAACTAAATTATTGCTATACATTTTTTAAACTGCAGTACTTTATGTTTTCAAAAAATTTTCTAAAACGTAAGGGCTTTCATGGCTCTTTCTCACAACATGTGGGATAATAATTTGGGCATATACCAGGGGTGGGCAACCTGAAAATCAAGGGCCACATGCAGCCCGCTGGGGTTTTATTTTGTTTACCATTGCCCATGCACAGGGTTGTCAGATTCTGCTAGGTTTCAGCCAAGTAGCTCTTTTCCTACCCCATCACAAAAGTGACACACATTTAAAACAAGGGCACATGAAGTGAGATGCATGCTTATTGCACACAATATTGACTGTCAGAACTATGTGCTTCTTCTGCATCCAATCAAAGCACTGCTATGGTTCAATCGCTCCCACCCCATCTCAGCAAATTCTAGGTATGCAAAACACAGTTAGTAAAACTATCCTATCCCAGGACACCATCCTGCTTATGACAGTTTCGCGGCCCACTCAGATGATGGAGGGCCTCTAAGGCGGCCAACTCAGTAGCGTAGGTTATCCCTCCCTGGCGCGCACACACACACACACACACACACACACACACACACACACACAAATATATATGAAATACGATGTACTTGCTCTTTTTTGTGTCAGGTGTAATACTATATATATAAAATAGCACACTAATTATTTATTTATGCTATATAGTTGTCCATTTACTGCTGATAGTTACTCATTTGAGACCAAATCTTAGTTCAGTAGAAGTTAATGGAATTTGTTTCTCCATTTAGCCCACAATTGTTAACAACCAAAAGAATACAATCAATATTTTAAGAAAAACAAAGTATTTTTTTCACTACCAGCACACTAGAATGTGGCACTTTAGCTTCCTGAGAGCTGTAATACATGGACTCAGTGTTTGGGTTTAGCTTGATTTCATGTTGTCGGACAGAAATCGTTAGCTGCAGTCCTCCCCTCACACCGTCTTTGCACTGGTGAGAGTCCACTGGACACACTCCCAATTAATCTGGCCTGAGAGGACAATCAGACCTATTATCATTTCTCACCTCTAGAACCAAATTGTTTGAGAAGCTTAGGGTGTGTCTAGACTACTGAGTTTTGTCGACAAAAGTGGACTTTTGTCGACAAAACTATACCTGCGTCTACACTACCGCTGAGTTCTGTCGACATAACGTCGACAGAACTCAGCAGTTTTGTCGACGCTGGTAAACCTCATTTTACGAGGCATAACACCTTCTGTCGACAGAACTCTGTCGACAGAAGGTGTTATTGCCTGTAGGGTTGCGTCTAGACTACAGGGTTTTGTCGACAGAAGTTTTGTCAACAGTATCTGTCGACAAAACTTCTGTCGACAAAACCCTGTAGTCTAGACGTACCCTTAGTTGCACTGCCTGAGAACTAGTGATTGAAGCATCTAGACCCATGGGAGTTCACGGATTATGTCTAAGGGGGCTGTGAAAGATTGTTGTTACCATAGAACAGTGGTTTCCCACCTGTCGTTGGCAGACCCCTTGAGTTCTGAAACTTTTTAGGGATGTGCAAATGAAAAAAAAGGTTGAAAACTACCTGTCTAAGGCATAGTGTCCCATGGCCAGTAGATATAATGATTCTGGTGAGCAGTGGCATTCAAACCAAGTATTTCACCCCCTATAGTCTTCCCTTTGCCTTATGTCCCAGACTTCCACTGGTCAACTACTGGCCTCTCCCTCTGCCTCTCACCCATTTTCATTCCATAGCATGCACAGCTGAATTATAGCTGTCCTTTACAGAGATACACTTGGGTTGGATCTGAGGCTACATTTGTCTGAGAGCCAACAAGACTTAAAGGACTTTAGGTGATTTTTATATTTGTCTTTATACAGTCAGTTGCATGATTGCCTACCATGTATAATATTTAGGCATATTTGTGTTACAAAGGCCAATATTTTCAGTATTGTGTCATCACTTAAAATAATGTAGCTGAGAATGATTAGTAACTGCAGTCTGACCTTCAGACTCTGCTTTGCTTAATATTGTGGCTTTAAGTCCTCCCCCCAATTTGTTCAGAACTTTTTGTACCTTGGATTATTAATCTATAACTAAACACTGTCCTTGGTGTTCATCTTGCTGACGGTGTTTGGATGCACACCAAATCTATTATCATTTCTTTGAATTTTGTAAACACATTAATTCCAACTCTTTATTCAGGCTTCTAGTTCTTTACAGTTCCATTACAAACTGAGCACATGAAAAGGACATTGCTTAGTCTTTTGGGATCAGTGATTAAAGCACTTTTCAGAGATGATAAATTTTAGATTCTTGTGGACGGTATCTCTTTATGTAACATTAAATACAATCAAACTCTCCATTTCTTAAGGGTTCAAGTCTGCCACACTTTTTTCATGTCAAGTAGTACATTACCGCTCAGTGCGAGTTGCTATAAGGGAAGGGCAGTATAGTGACAATATAGCTTGCTATTAACAAATGGCACATTTTATGTGAGTTGGGGTGGAAGTGACGCTAATCAGAAATCAGACCATCATATTCCAATAAGGAAAACTAAGTGGAGAGGTAAGGTGACCATATTTCCCTATGCTGAAGATAGGACACCTGACACAATTACTCATTCTCAAGTAAGTTCAACAACAATCAACCATACACACATTAAAAATAACATCAAGATGGCTGAGCCTCCTTTAAAAAGAAATACTGTCTAGTTGTATTCATTGTATTTACCTTTGTATCTTAATGGCTTTAGTGTTTAACACACACACACTTGTACATCTCTCTCACATGGAAGGAGTGATTGAATGAACCATCCTTTTCTGCCCTCCACACCTAGGTGGGCTCCCTCTGTCTGGCACAGCATCTTCCTGGAGCAACATGTATATGTAGGGGGGCATGCAGAGTCACATGTCCTCTCCCCAGATTTCTGCTGTGACTCTCACCAAAAAGGGGCAAGCAGCAGTCTTTCAATATTGTGTGGGAGGGAAACGATGGGAGCTGCTTCTAGCTGCAAGAGGGAGGCGGTGTCGAGGTATGTTCTGCTCTCCCTCCCTACCACTCCAATGTGGCTGTAAGCAGCTTCTCCTTTCCTGCCTGCACAGTGTCAAAAGGCAGCTAACATCTCCAGACTGCTACTGGCCACCGAAATAACCCAGCTACTTCCTATCCCTTGGCTACAGCATGTGCAGGAAGGCGTTAAGCCCTAGAATGCATTGCACACCAGGGCCCAGGGAACCTAACTTCAGGGGCTTCAACGAATCCAGCCAGTAGAGGAGGGTACCCTATGGGCAGAGGGTGGGGTGGGAAACGGGATGCTAAGCCACTGCCCTAGGGGCTGCTGTGGAGCCAGCAGGCTCAGGGTGTGCACAGGCTGGAAATTGCCCCCCCCTTCTGCTACTCCAGAGATTAGCTGAAGGGCAGAGAGGCTTCCCTGTGCCAGTGCTGTGTGCAGCTTCAGCACATGCTAGGGTTTTTCTGGTTAGCATTCCAGGCCAGAGGGTCTTGGACCTTCCCAGGACACTGGCCAAGCCAGCAACAGTGGGAGAAGGAAGGAGCCTGTCAGCCAAGCTGTTGGTGAGCTCAGTGCTTCGGTCAGGGGCTGGTTCTCAGCACAGTGCTGGGAGTAGGATGTGTCTCACTGGGAGGGATATGGAAGAGCAGCAGGGCTAGAAGGGGGATTGAAGAGGCAAAGCAGGGAGAGGACAGTGAGAAGGGAAACACATTGATGTGTGGGCAAGAGAGGAGACTGGCCGCTGCCTGGTATCTGCCTGCACTCACCAGCCAGTGCAAGCTGGAAATGGGATGGGGGGTCAAGGCCCTGCTAGCAGAGAGCTACCACGCAGCAGGGGAGTACAGACCAGCACGGGGAACGGCTGTCCCCATGCTCTGAAGTTTCACCCAGTCACCGGCCCTGAATGATGGTCACTTCCATCATTGAACACTGAACCTCCTCCTGCCATTCATCTGCTGAGTAGGCAACTGGGGAGCAGGGATACAGCCAGAACAGGACCCACTATTACTGATCAGGGAGACAGAGAATATGGGACAATTTGCCAATTTTTAACAAAAAGCTGAGACACCTGCAGGAAGGCTTAAATATGGGA